GTTTGACTAATTTTTTGTCTTTATTTATTTTTATCTGTGTTAAGTAGGACTTACTAATAAAGGTTTTTATTTTTTTTAATGAGTTTTTACATTTTTACGTGGGTTTTATAACCGTTTTTTGGTAAAAACTTATTTTTTTTATTATTACATGGAATTTCTTTTCTTGGTTACAATTTTACGCACATTTTTCGAAATAACTTTGTTTATTTTTTTTTTGGATATTCGAGTTTCAGTACATTTAAAGGGAATAAAATAGTGCGACCCTGTGTAATTTTTAAATTTGCCAGAATTGTTGTTTGTAAAAAGAACAATGGAAGAATTTGGGTCATTTAAAAATATCATATTTCATGAATTCACTTATTGATTTATTACTAATGGTTATTTTAGTAACCACCAAGTGTCAAGAGCAATTTATATTCTGTATTTAAAAATATTTTAACTATGCATGGTTGAATGTCAAGACAACATGTTTTAAATCAAAAACCATATAATTGAGAGATCAAATCATCTCTAAAATCCTTTACCTAAAATCTCTATAATTTACTGAACAGCGTAAAGTAAAAGCCGAGCATCTGGCTAAGGGATATAAAATATTAAAACATCGTTTTTGGGGTAGTCAATTAGTTTAAAATTAAAAAGTAATAAAAGATGATTTAGGACAAACTGTTGGTCGTGCCTTGACGAACGAACCCTTTCCCATATGTCCTTTGAACTTTTTAAAATTTAAATTAGCCCGCTCGGTTAAGCGGTTATCCTTAATAATTAACCGTCGAACTGACGCATTTATAGTAAATGTCGGAAAAGAGTTGTAAAAATTGTTGGTTTAATTATTATTTACGTCTGTTTTACAGTAGACAGGCCACTTTTCCGCTCCAGTGCCAATGCCTAATGGGAATCATGAACTTTTTTGTTTAGTACACTGCGTATTTAATGGTTAAATATACATACAGGGTGTCTATTTAAAAACGAGCAATGCTCTATGAGTCTGGGCCTAAAAAAGTTATCAAAATGCTCAAAACCGTTTCTTTTAAAATGACAACACACTCTTTTATTATGTAAATTATCGTTGTGTAAATTTACATGATTAAATATAATTTTACAATTTTAAAGTAAAATTACAATGTAACTTTAATGTTGTTAAAATAACAGTATGTAATATTACGATATACCAAACGTATTTTTTACATATTTCCTATATATATATATATATACATTATAATGTAATTTTACATTTGAACTAGCGGAAAACAAAGAGTGGTTTCTTTGGACGGCTTGTAGTTATTGCATATTTTCTTTGGCAATTAGCTGCAGCTATGACATGATGACATAAAAAATAATTAAGTTGTTTATCAGATAATTTCTGTCTAAAATATAAAAGAACCAATAATTCTACTGAATGAAATAGTGAAATTAGTAGATTTAAATTTAAAAAAAGTTTTGACCCAGCCAGGGATTGAACTCAGGTCTGTCACTTGTCAAGCTTGTCAGCCGCTCTTATAAAAATCAGTTTTATTTGTCAATAAATATTGTTCATAATATTTTAAAGTTGAATATATTATTTGTGTTGCTGTTTTGAGCTAAACTTTTTGCATCTTTATTTGTTTTTATGGGTCATTTAACCAAGGAGCTTAGGTATATGCATTTAATTCAATTAAAGAAATTAGTTACTTTTAACTCTCTGAAATAGTCAAAGATGGTGAATAATCTTAAATTATAATTTAAGATTATTCACCATCTTTGACTATTTCTAACTATAACTATAGTTAAACTTTAACTATTGAAAAGTGAAAATGACTATTTTATTAGTAAAAAATGCTGGTACTAATTCAAATAGTAAAATTTTGACTATTTCATTTTAAGAGTACCCTTTCTTTATAATTATCGGCGTCTTATTTACTATTGGGCTCCTAAACTCCTAAAAAGACGCTCTATTTAGGTAACGTGGGCAAGCCCGGCGATTTCATTGGTTAGCAAAAAACGTTTTAATGTAAATTTATATTTCATATTTATTTTTACATTTTAATATGTAAAATAATTGTATTATTACAAAACTTAAATGTATGATTACCTTATACATGAATAATTACAAAAATAAATTAGTTTTACAATATTTTTGTAAAAAACGTATAAACGTATATAAAAAATATACCTTTTAATAGTTTAATTTTTGAAAAATTCAAAAACTGGTTGCAATCGAAAAATAAACCAACCTAGGAAACTCAATGAAGCCATTGAGGTATCACTTCGTTTGGCAACTGGATCACAAATTCCACTCATTCAAAATGCATATTACACAAGAACTTGGCGATGATGATGCAGACAGGCGATTAGAATCATGACCAATAAAATAACAAATTAGATCCAAATACTTGATAACATTTGCTAAATGGAAATGTTAACAAACAAAATTGTCGTTATTGGACCAATGAAAATCCTTATCTCATCAATGAAAATCATTAGGCTGAAAAACTTAATGTCAGGGCAGGAATTTTGGGAGATTGTATTTATTGACCAAAATTTGAATGGTCAAATTTATTTTGTAATGGTAGATAAAGCAATACAGCCACCAATAATAATGAACTAGAAAATCAAAGAGGAGAGAATGATGAACTAGCTTTGGATGAAAATTTAATACATTTTAATACCTCATTATGTAGGAGCTATTCTACGACAAACATTTCAAAATGTTCGAATGGAATTTGAGAATAGACTGTCTATTGCTTACAAAATAATGGAAGTCATTTTGAGGATTTAATTTAAAAAGCTTCTTCCATAATTTTATTAATACAAACTTTTTTTAAGTAAACAATGTAAAAAAGATTAACATTCAAAACATTCCTAAGCGCATCTTTCTTTGGTTGGTTTCGTATAAAGGGCCACAATAGCCTTAGGTTGTATGGTTGTATTTAAAAGTGCCTTTCTCCATTCAGTACATCATTCTGGTTTTTTAAACTTTTATCTCGATCAGTCCGTTTGTTTGAAGAGGCCTACATTACATGGCACATTTAATTGACAAGAGATAATCTGAAAATTTGTTTAAACACGGTAGCTTTGCTTTTGCGATTCTTTCTTTACATTAGTTTCTTTTGTTGCAAATTTTGTAAGCTACAGTTTAGGTAATATCTTGATAAGTATGAATAATGTGGATTGTTTGGTAATAATGTTTGCCAAAAATTATGTTGTAGTTCAAAATATATATATACTGTAAAATAATTTTAAGAAAATTTGGTTTAAAATAAGAGTTTTAATATTCATATGCCCGTTTTTCGAGCTCCACCATGGGGATCTCCGTTATTATAAGAGATACGAGGTCGGTTAAATTAGGGCAAAGTTGCGCATTTTCATGCTGAATAATTATCTGAAAGAAAATTTTATGTGTCATTTTTACTTTTTGAATTATTGGGAAAAAACTGAAATTTGCAATTTTCGTTTTTATTTTTTTAAGCGAAAACCAAAAGAACTGGACGTTTTTAAGTAGCGCGTTCTTAGGGCACTTTTTTACAAGGAATCCAAATCTGTCATCTTTTTTTCCAAGGCGTCCTTGATGCCAGAGTTACAACACTCAACTTTGGTTTTTCTTATAGGCGCCATATTAGATTTTTGCATTTTTAAAACGTTTTTTTTTTCCTGATTTCAACGATGTATCACACAATATGATCGAATCTTACGTGCTGATCAAAATTGGGAAAAAATCGTTTTTGGAAAAATATTTGGAAAAAACGCCATCAATTTTGGTTAACAAACTAAATTTTGACAGCTCAGTTAAATAATAATAATAATTTTTATTTATTAACCGAAGCCTACTAGGTACAATGTCATATTTGAATTATAAAACACGAAGGCTTATTGGAAAATAAAATTTAATATTCAATAATAACACACGGTATACATCACAATTAAAAACATAAAAAAACATTACAAAAAACAGTAAAATATTTCAAGTATTAATAATTATTAATAAAAGCATTATAAACAAACAATCGTTTGTTATTCGAATAAAATTATAGCAGAACTTTGGAAATCTTTCAAGTTTATCCACAAAAATGCCTAATATTTTTTTTATATGTTTTTAATTGTGATGTATACCGTGTGTTATTATTGAATATTAAATTTTATTTTCCAATAAGCCTTCGTGTTTTATAATTCAAATATGACATTGTACCTAGTAGACTTCGGTTAATAAATAAAAATTATTATTATTATTTAACTGAGCTGTCAAAATTTAGTTTGTTAACCAAAATTGATGGCGTTTTTTCCAAATACTTTTCCAAAAACGATTTTTTCCCAATTTTGATCAGCACGTAAGATTCGATCATATTGTGTGATACATCGTTGAAATCAGGAAAAAAAAACGTTTTAAAAATGCAAAAATCCAATATGGCGCCTATAAGAAAAACCAAAGTTGAGTGTTGTAACTCTGGCATCAAGGACGCCTTGGAAAAAAAGATGACAGATTTGGATTCCTTGTAAAAAAGTGCCCTAAGAACGCGCTACTTAAAAACGTCCAGTTCTTTTGGTTTTCGCTTAAAAAAATAAAAACGAAAATTGCAAATTTCAGTTTTTTCCCAATAATTCAAAAAGTAAAAATGACACATAAAATTTTCTTTCAGATAATTATTCAGCATGAAAATGCGCAACTTTGCCCTAATTTAACCGACCTCGTATCTCTTATAATAACGGAGATCCCCATGGTGGAGCTCGAAAAACGGGCACCCTGTATGTATAAATATTAAGAAAAGAATTATTGTTTACCTTAAAAAAGTATTGCATAAAACAATAATATACACGTTTCCTCTTCAAGGCTACATACAAGATCATTGGCGTAATATTATTTAGTTTAACATATTAAATATAAGCAATTAAATAATACGAACAACATTAATATAATACTATATCTGACCTAAGGTCATTTTTAAGTTATCGAAACAATATTTAAATGTTTGACATTTCATTTATTTAAATTTTTAATATTTTCTCAATCCGTTTGTGTACACCACTGTAAAGTCGATACTATTATCATCAATACTGATTTTAATTTTAGTCTTCCTTAAAGATTTATGATGAAGTGTTTTGTGCTGTTGATATTTGTTTGTGTTTTGAGTTGTGTTTGGAGTGAAGGACTAAATGAGGAATTCACTTGGACAAGGTATTCTTCTCCAAGCAAAATTGCTATCATACAAATAATTAATTTAAAAAAACACTAATTATAGAATCTTATTTTTTTAGAATTAATTATGTTTGGCCCACACAAAGCAGGGGCGGTTTTTATCAAAATTCAGACTTTTTATTTCCGGGTGAGAATCCACAAACCATAGAAGGCGACGAGTTACCAAGCAATCTAGATTATCAGTATGGTGAGTGAACTTTCCAGTAAATAATAAAAATAAATAAACAGTTTATTTATCTCTTGTTGATTGTTATATAATGTTTTATATCTGTTTTTATGGGACCGTTGCCAAATTTTTAAAAATTTACAGAATCTGTGATTTTTTATATCTTTTTTATAGCGATGTTGCCGAAGTTCCACAAATTTACAGTAATATTTCACCATTCATTTTGGATACATACAAAAAAATTTGTTTTTTTTTGTATTTTTCTGTGCTGCCAAATTTTAAAAAATTCCCAGGATAAGGGAAATTTTTGCGACGTTCCAAACTTCCAAACATTTCAAGACCCTGGGATTTATTTTAAATTTTCAAGAAAAGTTTCCAATTTTTTGGATAAATTGCAAATTAAAAAAAAATAAAAATATTTCCAAATTTTCCAAAATAAATTTTTTTAATATCAAAAACTTTTAAAAATTTTGACTTTTTAAAATATTAAGGAGAAATAAAATTTTTTTTGTAATCCAATAAATTTTTTTTGTAGTTATTTGTCGGTGTTGCCAAATTTCATAAAAAAATCAGAAGAACAGTTTTAGAAAAATAAAGAATTTTAAAAAATTTCGTTAACTTCTTTTTCCGGTGTTTCAAAAAATTACCAGAAGGGACATTTTTACGACGTTGCCAAACTTCCAAGAACCTGTTTTTTTTAATTAAATAGGTATAAAAAAAATTTTAAATAAAAATTTTTATTCGTAGTTTTTTTCCGGTGTTTCCAAATTTCCAAAAATTGCAAATTTATAAAAATATAAAATCTTCAATATTTCCAAATTTTCCAAAAAATATCAAAATAATTTTTTTTAAATACCTATAAAAATATTTAAATTTTTTAAAGGATATCAAAATTATCGAATTTTTCATTAATTTAAAAAAAAAAATGCCGAATTTTCTAAAAAATATAGATAGGTATTTTTGCAACGTTACCAAATTTCCAAAAATTGCAAAATATAAAAATATAAAATCTTCAATATTTCCAAATTTTCCAAAAATTTTTTTTAACGTCTTTTTGCAAATTTTTTTGTTGCCAAATAAAAAAAATCCCAGAAGGGACATTTTTACGACATGGGCATTGACATTGGAAATTGACGTTGCCAAATTTCCAAAAATTCCCTGAACCTGGGACTTTCATTATTTATTTTGGAAAAAATAATTAAAAAAAATAAGAATTTAAAAAACAATTTATAAGTTTTTCCGGTATTGCCAAGTTTAAAAAAAATTGCCAGAAAGGACATTTTTAAATTAAATATTAAAAAAATATTAAATAATACAAAATTTCAAAATTTTTGAGGTTTTTTTAATTTTGTTATACAATAAATTTTTTTTCGGTATTGCGACGTTGCCGAACTTCGAAAAATTCCCAGAAATTGTGAATTTTTCTAAATCTTTTTGATACCTTTAATTACTATTATTTAATAATCAAATGGGTTAACATAGGTAAAGCAGTCACAGCGCGATGACCTCCAGGCTAGCCAACTAGCGCTAGTTATAATATGGGCAAATATATACAAATGTTTTTTTAAGCTTCAATATTTATTTTTTAGAAAACAATATTCCCATGGGTGCAAATGTTTGGAAGAACAAATTATTTATAACAGTTCCCCGTAGAAGATTGGGGGTGCCTTCCACTTTGAATTACGTTGATTTAAATGGCAGGAATAGAAGAAATGTGCCTTTAACCCCATACCCTGACTGGAAGACGAATTTGTTCCCATCCCAAAATTACAACAGCACCTTTTTTTCTGTATACAGAGTTGCAGTTGATGCTTGTGACAGACTTTGGTTTGTTGACACTGGATTGCTAGAATCACCAGGTGGGTATAGTAAAATTATCTCACCATTTCAAGGTAATTATTGATTGGTAAATAAAAAATAATTATGTTTTCAGGCAACAACTCTCGCATAAAACCAGTTACTTTATACGTAATGGATTTGAACAACGACCAAATTATTCATTCACATCAATTCCCGTCAAGCAGCATTTCTGCGGCTTCAAATTTTGCCTCCATTACTGTGGATGTAACCAAAAACAATTGCCAGAATGCCTATGCCTACATGCCTGATCTGGCTGGATATGGACTGACTGTTTATAGGTAAAAATGCTGATTTTACTTGAAAAAAAGATTACTTTGGTGATAAGTTAAACAAATATTATAAACATTCCCAACACCAAAAAAAAAACAAAAAGTACTTTTCGCCAACGATGTTGGCATCTTCAGAAGCAAAGTGTAACTAAATCTAAATGCTAAATATTTATACTAATTATAAGATAAGGTTGCTAAACGAAACGTTTTGTTTATCATAATTTTACTGCATTTCTATTTACTTTAGTCTACGAAACGACCGTTCTTGGAGAGTGACCCACAACTACTTTTACCTCGAGCCACACGCAGGAGAGTTCACAATCGCTGGTCACACGTTCCAGTGGAATGACGGCGTCTTCAGCGTGGAACTAAGTGAAATCAAAAGCGACGGCAACCGCGATATGTACTTCCACTCCATGGCGGGGCACCACATGTACAGAGTCAACACCAGGTTCCTCAAAAACGAAACTTTAGCCACCAGAAGCTACCACGGAAGGGATTTTGAAGATCTGGGCAACAGAGGGGAGAATTCGCAGACTTCTTCGGCTGATATTCACCAAGAGTCGGGGGTTATGTTTTTGGGATTGGTGAATCAGAACGCTTTGGCTTGTTGGAATACTGCTTCAAGTCTAAGAGATATTTCCATTGTGGCCAAAAACGATAGAACAATGATTTACCCCTGTGACGTTAAGGTTTACAAAGATAAAGTCTATATGCTGACCAATACCATGCCCGAATTTTTGTATGGACAACTAAATTATGGCGAAATTAACTTCAGGATTTGGTCTAACACCATCAGAGATGCTGTGAGAAATACTGCATGTGAAGGCAGATCTAGAAGATATTAAAAATTGTTGCCAAGTATTTTAATAAAAATTGACGAATTAAGATTTCTTTTATTTATTATCAAATGCCTACTCTTTTAAAAAAACAATCTCACTTAATAACCTCCCAGAGAACCATGGTTTGTGAAAGAAATTAGTCAACTTTTTTCCAACTTATTTGGTGTACGATATTTTACACTTATTGGGGTTTATTTGGACATATAATTTGTGTTTTGATTAAGTTTGACCAAAAATTGACATATTTTATGCCAATCCTTTCCCAACGCGATAGCACAAAAACTGCATGAAAATAAAGACCTAAGTAGAGTTATTTTTGGCCAACTTCGTTTGTAATGAAGTTTGGTCGAAAATTTTGCAAACCGTTTGTAATGCAGGTTGGTCGAAACTTGGCAAATAATTGACTAGCATGAAAAAAGTTGACTATGCCCAATAGCCAGTTAAAAGCTCATTCACATCCACTTAATATGCGTAACTTAAATTAACTTAACTTAAGAAACCTACGTCTGTTAAGTTGTCTGTTTACATTAACTTAATACACGCAAAGAACGCAATATACAAGCTTTAAAGGTTGCATAGCGTCGTTAAATTAATATGTCAAGACCTTCTCTACAAAAAGGCGTAAAAAAGTGCCTGTGTTAAAGTTAAAACAAAAAATATAATCATCCGTGCACTAATTAAACGTGTGTAAAGTTTTAAACGGCTTTAAATTTTGAGTAAGTAATTAGGGTTATGTTTTCAAGTTTTTTAATAAATAATTCAATTATTATAAAATTTCTTACTTTTTTGAAGATTGTTATTCCCTTGTTAATTTTGAAGTAATAAAAATTTACATTGTTCGTTCTATATTAGGTACTTATTTTTTGGTCATTGTTACAGATTTTCATTTATGGTTGATACTACTAAAGTTGGGCAACTTTTGACCTCATTTTGTTTATATAGTTTTCGAAGAAAATTAAACAGTATTTTGTTATGAGAACATAGATAATATAATAAATATACTGTTCCAGACCGGGCCAGTCACTTTTTCAAACATTTTCTGAAACATCTGTGTTTTCTAAATTTGAATGCAAGGGAAGTGACGAGTATACGAGGGTACTAATTAAATATATAATTTATTGGAAAATTTTAGATTTATTGCAACTTTGAGCATATTATACATTAAATATCCTAAAATCAAATAATACCATACATCAGTGGCGGCTGGTGGATTGGGTACACCGATATCTCAATTATTAGATATGGGACCCACACCAAATTTATATGAGTTTATAATGACATTAAATAAACAAGTTCTGCGCAAGCAGAATTTAAATTGAAGTTTGCGAAAAAAAGATAACCGAAACATCGAATATGGAACTGACGACAAGGTACTGATGAATGGGATACAAATTTGAGATTATAACTCGGAATTAAGTATTTTACTGACATTTTTTATTAGTGGATTCTACTTATCAATAAATCACATATAGTCTTATACACCGAAAAAAATAAAGTAGTTGAGTTAACGTTGGCCTAAATTTCATTTTTGAAAATGTTGTTTCATCAAAAAACCTATTGGATTAATCTATATTTTGGTGACAAAGCAATAGTCAGAGTTTGTCAAAGTTTATTTGTTCATTTGACAGTTAAAATATTGATTTAACATATACATATGTTAAATTAGTTTATAAACTAATTTTTTGAAATAAAATGTTTATCCCATTTTGATTTAATAGTTGAAATTGGTTGAATCAAATACTGAAATTTTTAGGATTACCTAAAAAAACTATTAAATTAACGTTTACTTGCTCTTTAATCCGAAACATTAAATTTGTTCATTTTACAAATTGTACAAATGTTACTTTAAAATTTAAAATGTTAAATTTGCATTCATAAAATTGCCGTGAAGGGCGCTTCGAACACCCACGCCACGTCATTAGACGGTGTTGATCACGTGTTCTTACATCTCGCCTCAGTTGGCTTACGATAGGAGTATATAAGATCAGGTAGTTGTTTGTTTTGGTTGTGTTCCACAGTGTAACTTCCACTACACCAAATTGCCCGACACTGATAAGACCCCCAATATAGGTCGAAACAGCTTCCTGTCGGTATTTGAAGTAGAGGGAACGCACTCAAAACAAAAACTCTGGCGAGGTGGAGGTTCAATTCTTTATATATAATAATATATTAATTCCAAATTTTGTTTTGGATACCAACCTTTAAAGAATTTTACTTTTACATTTTTAGAATGTTAACCCAACCGTTTTGGAACATGCGCAAATTATTTTAATCAACATTTTATTGGTGTTGAGTGAATATGCTAAAAAGGTTACCTGGACATTTCAAGAAATTTACCTTAACACCCTAAGAATGTTAAATTAACCAAATTATCAGATTAGAACAAATATTCTCATTTTGTTCATTTGACTCATATTTGTTGTTCAATTAAACAATACAAATTGACATTTTTAAATGGTTAAGTTACGTGTAAAAACCATTGCTTGTATTTAAAGTGCATAAAGAGTTGAATTAATATTTTTGTTGTTGATTCAACTGAAATTTTGACTGGCACTATACGTGCATTAACAACAACTTCGCCGCTTGCATTGTTTTCAAGATGAATGTCGTGCAAAGGGCGGGCTCTGTAGGTAATGTTTTACTAACACTTGAGTTAAAACGAGGACTTGACGTTTAAACTTCAATATTTCGCAGGAATTTTTAATTTTAACATTGAACACAGAACTGACGGGTAAAAGTGGGTACAAAGATTATCAATTTTTTAAAAATTGCTATTATTCGAATCTATGATAAAATATGAAAAATACATTATTTAATGTTTTATAGTTTGTAGTGAAATTGAAAAATTTAAGATAAATTGAATATAATAAAATCACTCAAATATTTGATTCAGGAGTTGTGACACGCCAAGTTACTGATGTTTTGAATATTTATTATGTTTTTCTACAAACGTGCTTTTGAAAAAATACATTAAAATTGGGTGGACAAGTTAAAAAACTTGGATCTTTTGTAATATAATAAAATATTTACATTAAAATACCTTCTCTACACAAAAAAAAATAAGCTGTTGAAACAACAACAAAAATATTAATTCAACTCTTTATGCACTTTAAATACAAGCAATGGTTTTGCACGTTTACTTAACCTTCTAAAAATGTCAAATTGTATTGTTTAATTGAACAACAAATATTAGTCAAATGAACAAAATGATAATATTTGTTCTAATCTGCTAATCCGGTTAATTAAACATTTTTGATATGTTGGAGTAATATTTCGAAAATGGTTGTGCTAACATTTATAAGATGTTAAGGTAAATTTTTTGAAATGTCCAAGTAACCTTTTTAGCATATTCCCTTAACACCAATAAAATGTTAAATTAAAATAATTTGCACCAATGTTGGGTTAATTAAATTATGGAATTAATATAAAGAAAAAGAATTGAACCTTTCCTCGCCAGAGTTTTTGTTTTGAGTGCGTTCCACCTACTTTAAATACCTACCGACTGACAGCTGATTCGCCCTATATTGGGGGTCTTATCAGTCACTGATAATCAGTGTCGGGGAATTTGGTGTAGTGGAAGTTCCACTGTGGAACACACCGAAAACAAACGGCTACCTGAGCTTATATACTATCGTAAGCCAACTGAGGCGAGATGTAAGAATATCACGTGATCAACACCGTCTAATGACGAAGCGAAGCGCCCTTCACGGCAATTTTATGAATGCAAAATTAACAAATTTTAAAGTAACATTTACAATTTGTTAAATGAACAAATTTAATGTTTTGGATTTAAAGAGCAACTAAACGTTAATTTAATAGTTTTTTTAGGTAATCCTAAAAATTTCAGTATTTGATTCAACCAATTCCAGCTATTAAATCAAAATAGGATAAACATTTTAATTCAAAAAATTAGTTTATGTTAAATCAATATTTTAACTGTCAAATGAAAAAATAAACTTTGACAAACTCTGACTATTGCTTTGACACAAAAATATAGATTAATCGAATAGGTTTTTCGATGAAACAACACTTTCAAAAATGACATTTAGGCAAACGTTAACTCAACTACATTATTTTTTTCGGTGTATTGACTGATCAACGATATCGTTGCATAAAGTTGCAGTGAAGAAAGAGAACTGCCTGTTTCTAGGTAAATTGTGTTTATGCGTACAAGGCTTTTTCTACAAGCAGGACAAATTAAAAATAAATGTCTACCTATGTCACAGAGGAAAAGGAAGATTTGTTGGGTTTAAAGATCTATAGTGCCTGAAGTGAGCAAGGTAATTGTAATTTTTGCATTGAATTTTAATATTGATTTCTTTTTTTATTTTTAGTTATTCATAACAAATAAACTTACCAATCACAAACAATTTTACAATAAGTTTTTAATGTTAAATAAAACATAATTCTTGATAGCCTTATCGTAATTCTATTTGTCTCATAATATTATACACGTATAAAGGTATTTTTCTAGAGAGTTTACATGAACACGAGAGATTTCCTCCTCCTGGGGCTGTAGAGTTTCAAAGGTCCTTTGACGTGGCCTTGAACAACGCCAAGCAACGTGCCAGAAACCAAAGAAAAGCCAAACAATATTTTTTTCCAATTTTTATTATTTAAAATATTTTTAAATTATAACCTACCTAACTTAACCAAACTGCTTTTGAATATTATTGGGCAAAATTTGATCATTTATTGTTGGCCATCGCGATTGCACAGAAATCATAGAAATATTAAGTCCTATATTGTACATTTATTGGCAAAACTTTTCCAAAGGTAAAAGGGCAATTTTTGGCCAAGTTTTAACCTGATATGCTCTCTGGGCTGTACTAAATTATTCTTGCTAATTTTTTTGTTTTGTAAACCAGGTAGGTATATATAAAAATTTAAATAAAAAAATATAATTCATGTTTTCATACAATTTATCTACAAGATTTCACGGTAAACCAGTTCTTAAAGAGGTATTATTTTTTCTTTTACTTACAAATGGTATTTTGAGTCCCATATTATGGTACAAGTCTGACCACTGGTCTTTATTACATTTTTACCATGAAGATGTTAGGAGTGTTAATATGTTTGTGTGTTTGCTATAGTGTTTTAAGTGCTGGACTAAATGAAGAGTTTACTTGGTCGAGGTATTTTTTTAATAAACGTTCAATATTTGTTCTTATTTATTTGTATTGTATATATTTTTTATAGACTTAATTATGCTTGGCCCTTCCAAACCAAGGGAAAAAGTCCACAAATAAAAGATAGCAACGATGTACCTAGCTCTCTAGATTATCAGTATGGTGAGTATTTTTTTACATAAACTTTACCATGTCCAAAACTTTGTCTACGTATTTTAGAGAACAATATACCTTTGGGTGCCAACGTATGGAAAAATAAGCTATTCATAACAGTACCACGCAGAAGATTTGGGATACCATCCACATTGAATTATGTGAATTTAAACGAAGAAAATAAAAGAAATGTACCTTTAATTCCATATCCCGATTGGAAGAAAAATTTGTTTCCATCCCAAAACTATGACAACACTTTTTTTTCTGTATACAGGGTGTCCGTGGATGCCTGTGACAGGTTATGGTTTGTTGACACTGGGCTACTTGAAATACCAGGTAACGTAGTTACTACAGGGTGTTTGGAAATAACGTTAATATATTTGGGGGGGGGTGATTCTACATGTTAATCTTTTATGTTTTATTTTAATTTTTTTTGTTACAAAGTCAATTGTTTTCGAGAAAACCGCTATTAAAAAGTCTCGCCACAAAAAAAAATTAAGCAAATTAAGTCTGCTTCGCAATTTTCGTCATTTTGTCATTGAAGACATCAATGCCTGTATGAAACTACCACTTTTAAAGTAAACAAAGGTAAGAAATCGAACAACTAGAACAGTGGAAAACGAAGAAACGGTCCTGGAAGTAGTTGTCGCTAATCCTGGGATACACAGAAAAAAAAACTGTATGTAATAGTATATTATGTATCAAGTTTGATAAACGCCATTTTATACACGAATTTAATTTAGGCAGGAGCGAGCTTGCGAGCGAGTGCTTAATTTAATGAGTATATAGAAAAGTTTATAAACGAGGTGCATACTATACTTTTTCTACAAAAAATACTTATTATTATCATAAAATGATTTAAATCAAAAATTTGTATAGAGAGCCATCTATGAAACAATAGGGGAATCTGTGTGTCACCGTCAAATGTCACATTTTTACATTTTATAAAAACAGATTATAAAGGTCATAAATCGAAATGTATTTTTTGAAAATTGACAGTTTTTCACAGTGAAAGTAAAGAAAATGTTTTATGAGCAATGTACATTGGACTCCGTGCCCGAATTTAAGTTATAGTTTACTGCCGGCGAAATCAAAAGGTCAGTACAATGTTCATATAAACTTTTCAAATATTGGCGTTAAGAAACTATTTAATACTTTTGTATTTTTGTATTGAGATAATAAAATAATTTTCACATTTAGTATTGTTTTATAAGAAAGGCACTTTATTTTAACGATTGTATGACATTTGACAACTGTCAACTAACTTAAAAGTAACTTTAGCCCGTGACTAAAAACCTGTTGCTAACTTCAGCCCGTGACTAAAGCGCCATAAAGCCACAACTTGTCAATGTGTATTTAAAAGGTCACTTAGTGTCATGGAAACATGTACGATAAAGGGCGTTTTAGTGGTGGGAGTAGAAAAAATTAATAAACTGCTTTTTGTACATTAATATTATGTATTGGTGATTATTACAATGCTTTTTCAAGTACAATAAACTAGTCAACATTAAACGATAAATGCAAAACATCAAAAATTAATTATTTCCTTTATCAATATAATATAAAAAATTATTCAATTAACTATTGACGATCATTAACCGATGTTCTTTATCTTTAAAACAACAAATTTTTCATCAAATATCCAGCAAAACATAAATAACGGTCACTAAACATTGATTTTACGAACTTAACCATTAACTTCTTAAAACGCGCCAAAATTAATCCTGATTCAATTAACATAAACATTATTATAACGAATCGCTGTCGTAGACTGAAGGTCATCGCACGACTTTTGGGTGGGGAATTTTTACATGCAGTTTTTATCTTGTCAGTCTTATTATAATAGCGTCAAAAGGATAGGTCCGCGTTTAACCCTAAAGCTTTATTAGTGAAATTGTGATAAATATATGGAGCCAAGTTAAGGTGTGTTAGCTTGTGAAGTTATTTAAACATTTTTGACCTTTTTGGATTATTTTTTAAGTTTCGTACCTAATATACGAAACCGAGGTGTGTGAGCTTGTGAAGTTATTTTAAACAGTTTTGACTTTTTTGGATGTTTTTTTTTATTTTTAAGTTTTAAGTGAATGAGTTTTTAGTTTTTAAAATATACACTTTTAATATTTTAAATAAAATAATTTAGGATTTCATGTAATTAAGGCGGTCGATATATGTTTTAATAGTATATTATGTATTAAGTTTGATAAAGCCATTTTATACACGAATTTAATTTAGGCAAGAGCGAGCTTGCGAGCGAGTGCTTAAATTAATGAGTGTATAGAAAAGTTTATAAACGAAGTGCATTCTATACTTTTTATACGACAAATACTTATTATTATCTTAAAATTATTTAAATCAAAAATTTGTATAGAGCGCCATCTATGAATCAATAGGGGAATCTGTGTCACCGTCAAATGTCACATTTTTTTATTTTATAAACACAAAATATAAAGGTTATAAATCGAAATGTATTTCTTGAAAATTTACAGTTTTTCACAGTGAAAGTAAAGACAATGTTTTATGAGGACTTTACAGTGGAGTCCGTGCCCGAATTCAAGTTATAGTTTACTGCCGGCGAAATTAAAATGTCAGTACAATGTTTATATAAACTTTTCAAATATTGGCGTTGAGAAACTATTTAATACTTTTGTATTTTTGTATTGAGATAATAAAATAATTTTCACATTTAGTATTATTTTACAAGACTTTATTTTAACGATTGTATGACATTTGACAACTGACAACTATCTTAAAACTAACTCCAGTCCAGACTAAAGCGCCATAAAACCACAACTAGTCAATGTGTATTTAAAAGGTCACTTAGTGTCATGGAAACATGTACGATATAGGGCGTTTTAAAGGTGGGAGTAGAAAAAATTATTTATATTATTATTATTTATATAATATATATTATTATATATATATATATATATATATATATATATATATAATATTATTTAATCTTGACTTTTTACAGAAAAGCATGTTTTGGAACTTTTTAGATAGAGCATTTTGTAAACCTCTTTAGAGCCCAAAGGTTTATATTATTTGTAAATTTCTCTTGCAATAAAAAAATGTATTCACCAAAAACGTCTTTATTTTAAAGACACCCCTTTTGTGATTGATTGATTGAGTGCTTAATGTGTATTTAAAAGGTCACTTAGTGTCATGGAAACATGTACGATATAGGGCGTTTTAAAGGTGGGAGTAGAAAAAATTATTTATATATTTAATCTTGACTTTTTACAGAAAAGCATGTTTTGGAACTTTTTAGATAGAGCATTTTGTAAACCTCTTTAGAGCCCAAAGGTTTATATTATTTGTAAATTTCTCTTGCAATAAAAAAATGTATTCACCAAAAACGTCTTTATTTTAAAGACACCCCTTTTGTGATTGATTGCTGGGTAATTTGTATAAGAATTTTTTTTCCTATTTCTATGTTGCTAAAACAAAATGTACCCACGTACCCAGTAAACCTTTATTTTAAATAAAAAGGTAAGTAAATTTGGCAAATAATTTTAATTGGGTTTGTCTTGGATTTTATGTAAATTTAAGTAAAACATTAGCCTTTTTATCGTGGTATTAATACTATAAGGGATCATAGATCTATGGTAATTGTTTATTGATTCAATGTCTTTGTAACAAGAGCAGTTTTTTCTTCATCTTCTTAATCATTTTAGGAAATTCCACCCGAATAAAACCAATAACTTTATACATAATGGATTTAAACACCGACCAAATTAAACATTCGCATCAATTCCCTCCAAGCAGCATTTCGTTAACTTCCAGTTTATCCAGTATTACTGTGGACGTCTGCAAAAATAGATGTCAGGATGCATATGCATATACCCCCGATTTGTCTGGATATGGATTAACAGTGTTTAGGTAAAAAATATATAATTGTAACAGTTACATTTTAATGATTTATCTTATATTTCAGCTTACGTAACAACCGTTCGTGGCGAGTATCTCACAAGTACTTTTACCTGGAGCCACAAGCTGGCGATTTCAACATCGCCGGTCACCAATTCCAATGGAGAGATGGCGTCTTCAGCGTAGAACTGAGTGATATCAAAAGTGATGGCAATCGCGACATGTTCTTCCACGCCATGGAGGGGCACCACATGTACAGAGTCAGCACCAGGATCATCAAGAACGAAACTTTGGCTACTAGGAGCTACCATGGAAATGATTTCGTCGATGTTGGGGACAGAGGGCAGAATTCGCAAACTTCATCGGCTGATATCCATAAAGAATCGGGCGTTATGTTTTTGGGGTTGGTGAATCAGAACGCTTTGGCTTGTTGGAATGCTGCCGCAAGTTTGAAGGAGATCACCACTGTAGCTAGGAATGATGAAAAAATGATTTACCCTTCTGATGTTAAGGTCTACAACGACAAAATCTACATGCTCACCAATAAAATGCCAGAATTTATATATGGGAAATTGAATTATGATGAAGTTAACTTTATAGTATGGTCCAATACGGTCAAAAATGCTGTAAGAAATACGAAATGTGATAAACCCAGGAGACATTGATATTTTTTTATTAAGTAATATAATAAATAATGTAAATTATAACAATACAATAAATTGACAAATTAAAAGTTCATAAATTTATTTATTTATAACCACATTTAATTAAAAATAGATTGATAGCTTTTCAGCAAATTTGTTTCAAATGCGTGAAAATTAAGGCATCTACCGCCATCTATTTTACAGCAGCTAAACCTACCACATGTTGCACACGTGTTTGATTCAACAAGCGTTCATACGTTCGAGGAGGGAGCTTTAATTTTAAAATGTACACAATTTTAACTAGGGATGTATAAAAAAGTTTTTTTAGATAGAAAATCAAAATTATCAATATATAAACCTCGTCACGATACACGTGATTCTTGGTTTAATTTATTTCGTTTTTAAAGTACCTAACTACCTAACTACCTAACTTAATAAAAAAATGTTAAAAGTTATTTATTTTTTTCAAATAATTAGACAATCATTTTACCTTCTATGATTTTTTCCTCTTTGTTTTCTGCTTTTCTCTTAAGACTTTTGCTGCATTCAACATACTGCATGTTTTCTGTTGCTTTATTTTTTGTTCCCAAAACTTTTCTTAATATTTTTTTCAATGTATTGGACTTTATTTGTTTTAAAAACTCATTTTCAAATTACAAATGACACTGCATATAGAACTGTCACTGCCACTAGGTTTGAGAGGTACACCTTTTTAATAGTAGCAGATTTTAGTAATCAAAAAATTGCATCAAATGGTATAAAAACCTAACCTCAAAGTTTGTATGGGGCAATAACCTTAAGCAACCCCTGTTTCTACGACACTGTGTTCACTCGAACAATTGTAATTATGTGTGAAAATGTGTTTTGGTAGTAAGTGACTGTTCGCAAAAAACTGATATGATAAGAAACACTTTATCACCCTGTATCTTTTAAACATACGTAATTAGGAAAAATATTTATTTAGATTTTTGTCTTATTTTTACTTGCTTAATCTGCTCCTAAATTTATGCCACTAAGTTTAGGGACACCTTGTATAATTATAATAATTATTTCTTTTATTTTAATTAAGTTATTGTACCGTCGCTAAAAAAAACATATTCGGTCCCGTAAACACGGATGGCTTTGGCTCACTTTCAAACTTCAGCTTAAAATTTTTGTGGTTTTAACAATCATAAACATTAAATTTTGTATACCAAAATTTGAGTCTTGAGTTGCTCTTTCATAATAACTATGTTATAATATTACATAGGGCTGAGTTTCAAAAATAAACATTAAAAACTGGGTGTGCAAAGTTACCCCCTGGTTGCGGGTTACTTTGTCTCACAGTGTTTTTTCAGTATAAAATGAATATAATATTATATTTTATTTTTATTAGACACGTGTTAGCAGCGACATATATCTATTGCAAGGGATTACCAATAAAAAAAATAAAAAATCGACCTGTAGTTAACCAAGGATCATCATTCCAATGGATTGCGCATAATATAGAAATTGTAACGCGTGTATTTCTAAGAGTTTTGCACTGATACGATATATACAATTTTAAAGTGTAATAAATCCCATTTCTTTCTTTAAAACACTGATTTTCCTGTAATATAAACTCAATAGAATCGCTCAATTGACAGGTTTAGACCAACAAATTATAAATGTTAATTTTATCGAGCGCGAAAAGATTTTTCATAAATGGGTTAAAGTCACCCGCGGGGTGTAAAGTCACCCGTATTTACCCGTTTTAACATAACTTTTTATTTAACATTTCGATTTGTAAAATTATAATTTTGTAATTTAACTTTATAAAACATTCATTATTTTGTAATTGGATATTTTGGACTCCTCTTTGCAAAAAAAAACCAACCGACAGTTAATTTAATTTAATTCAATGTTTAGGCTTTTTTTCTGTAAGGAAATTTTTTTAAATTAAAATAATTTTATGTTGTTGATTGCTACTTTTTCAAATGTGAATATTAAAAAAAAACAATTTTTCCAAGAGCTACGGATACGGAATAAACAGGGTTTTCCCCAAGTTTCTCCGTTTTTTTTTGACATTTTAAAACCCTAGTTTTGAACCTCTTGTACTTAATGATAATCAGTAAGAATTTGTTCTTGATGTTTTTGTAATAATTGTTTCATAAGTTTATTTATATTTTTTCTAGCACTTATCTTATCACAAGTTGTTTTCCTTTAATTAATGTAGTAAAAAAAATTTTACATATCTTAATTAATATTAATTGTGATTTATCTTAACTTTGTTTGGAGTAGGTTTTACGCCAAATAATCATTAGATTCATAATTTTAAATATAATTAATTAAATATTTTACAAATTTAATTGTTTTAGTCCATAACAAATGAAATTGGCAGGAAAAAAATTAGAATAAAAATTATTTAAAAAAAAATTACTTTAATTTCATCTCTTAAAATATTAATTTTGGAGATTCGACTTATGTATACGACCTTTTTTGTGAAAAACTAAATTTTCTACAAAAAAAATGTATTTTGGTTTTTTCTGCTTCTGCTTGTTTGGATTAACAAAAGAAAGTCTGCAAAAACATAAAACTTGAAAAAAAACAGAGAGTAAACCAAAAAAAAAACAAAAAAAAATGTGTTATTTTCACGGTACATCTCGAATCACGAATTTTAATTATGTATCCCTTGAAAATACTCTAACAATCGATATAGAAGATAGAAGAGTACGCCTTATGGGCACTGTACGCAAAATTTTTAACGCTCTATCAGTTAAATCTAGTTGTAACTGCACTAATACGGCAAAATCAAAAGGTCAGTACAAACGTTCATATAATCTTTTCAAATAGGTATTGGCGCCAAGAATCTTTTTAATACTTTTGTATTTTTATATTGAGATAATCAAATAATTTTCACATTCGTATTATTTTACAAGAAATGCACTTTATTTTAACGATTGTATGACATTTGACAACTCGTCACCTGAGAATTATAGTGTTCTATCTACATTTTCTTTTTTTTATTCAGGTTAGTCTTGTTTTAAGTCTTAAAGATGATATTGATCTATCTATATATAATTGGGGTAAAAATTGTAAAGTTTAAGGCTTAAACTGTACAATTTCTACCCCAATTATATATAGATAGAACAATATGCATCTTTAATACTTAAAACAAGACTAACCTGAATAAAAAAAAGAAAATGCAGATAGAACACTATAATTCTCAGGTGACGAACTGTCAACTAACTTAAAACCAACTAAAAAAAACTAACTAACTAACCCTCCCGTCCATTCAACTAATCCCTTGTATATGCATAAAAATAACTTCAGCCCGTGACTAAAGCGCCATAAAACATTTTAATATGAGAAGTGGCTGCCATGAATAATATTTTTTTAAATCATAATCCAATTTTTGATATGGAGGAAGTGAAAAGAAGAATTCCGGGTTCACAGAACGTTAGCCAATACATAAATCAATAAAGATAACGCTTTGATTAAATAAGAAATTACTGACATCAGATGAATAAAGATTGCTACAGCTAGAGATTTGTTATTCATGTTTCACACTGTAGTAATAATCTCGTTTAGTAAAGATTTATGGTTAAGAATCCCAAGAATCCAAATGGGTTATTTTATTATACACCGTCTAACTCATATTAAGTAACGGCTCAACCCCTTTAGAAATGCAAAATGGGCCGGACCAAGTATATATCTTTACAGTACGTAAATGTGCGTTAGGAATGACATACTGGCAATTAGAGCTGATGTACGACATTCCAAGGCAACGAATGTGCACCAATTATTTTGCTATGTACAACAGCCCAGGCTGACCCTTCCGTTCTTATAAGCAAACCTACTAGAATCCCTTGAGATCTATGTTGTGCACCTTATTCCGGCTAATCCTGTCAATTATTTATTAGGTGGGGACTAAACACGAAATTAATTTGAAGACTTAGGTAGTACATGGATAAAGTGAATATGGTTTAAACAATACAAGAAGTACGTAAAGTAAATGTCTAAGGATCAGTTTAATAAAACCCCAATTTATAATCTGAACTAAAAATATATTTTTAAAATTTAACATGAATCTAACCTAAAATAACAACAATATTAGGAAGAGATTTGCCATCACATTCCTTAACCCTGCCTTTAGGACACAAGGCTTCAAGAAAAGGAACGCAAACTTTATCTAAATGTGTTCTTACGTTCGCAGAAAAATGGGGTGAGGCGCCATCATGCATAAAAAACATCGACAATCTTAAATGGTAGTCATAAAGGAAGTTTATGAAAACGTTTTGTAGAATATAAAGGCTGCGCCATAAAAACCGCACACATTTCGAAGCGGAATTTCTCAGCATTGGAGCAAGCTAGAACTTCTATAGTACCTATTGAAGACAGGAGATCATTGAAAAAAATTGTTTATTTCGATTTTTTGCAGAACATATCTTGGTAGCTATGGAAATAGACAAACTAACTTTAAAAATAAACAATCAGTGTCTTGACATTCTTCAAGAGATGAATAATTCACACAATGTGGTTTCAGCAGGACAGGGCCACTTGTCACACGCCCAGAATATCCACATATTTTTAAAGGCAAATGTTCCCATATCAAGAAATGGTGATTTACCATGGCCAAGGTCATGTGACCTCACACCATGTGATTTTTGGCTCTGGGGATAATTGAAAAGTTTACACTAGGGTGTATACGAATAACCCTCCAAATGTGGAAACCCTGAAGGAGAACATCAGGAGACAAATAAGTTCCATTTTTCAGGAAATGTTGCGAACGTTATGGGAAATGTCCAACCCCGGTTTAAAGATCGACGTAATCTTCAAAACATTCGTGTTAATCATAACTCCTTAATTCGCTTTTTTTACACTTTTTCCATTGATGGCATTTTTTAGTAATCTTCAAAACATTCGTGTTAATCATAACTCCTTAATTCGCTTTTTTACACTTTTTCCATTGATGGCATTTTTTAGTTACACCCTGTATATATTTTTTTGTAAAATATCGTTACAAAACTTTTCGAGTTTTTCTTTCAAATAAAACCACAATG